CTACATATAGCACAAAGAGCAATTTGTTTTCCAATCCCCAGCTGAGTTGTGACCATTTGAGTACAATAATGCAATAATTATGTTTCAAATTACTGCAGTATAAAACTAAAAAACATGGCTTCAGTTTACAGTATCTTTCCATGTCATGCATGTAAATTTGCTAACTTTCTATCCAGAGACCATCTGTTTCTTCAGTTTTCCTGGAACAGTTTAGTTATGCTCTTCTGTATCTTTTCATGATGGATGTACTGACATCCTGTTCCTGTTGCATCATTATATTACTTTCAATACGCTTGCCATTTCAACCTGAGAAATAACATCCTTCTGTGGCCAGTGAAAGGATGGTGATGGACCTTCAGGATGCATGAATTTGACAAGAGTGTAACAATTCTCATCACTTTTTTCTACCACAGCTACACAGGTCAATGTCACTGTATGCAATATGAGTAGGTCCTGAATACTGCATCAAAGAATATACTTGAACCAGAAACTTATCATACTCTGAATGTATTTGAATGCAACAAAATATACAATTGGTTTTCTCTAGTGTTTAGAACCTGCATATAGTTACTGAAACATTTCTTCAGTTCAGTTTCAGTGATGTGTTACCTGACTCAAATAGAAATATTTTATCCTATAAATGTTTTCTTGAACAAATTCATTAACTCTTTTGGTGTCAGTATGTTGAAGACTTGCTCTGGCTGCCTGCTGTTCTTCTGTGCCACCTACAGCATCACAAAGACTTATGCCATTACTAGTGGCAAACAAATAGCACTCTACATTAATTCAAAAATAATTTTTATGAATACCAAACTGACAAACTCTTTTTTTATTTTCTTATACTGTAATGCAGCTCCATCACTGAAGTATGATATCTTTCTCATTATGCTATCTGGTGTCTCAAAATACTAAATCACAACCTTCTGAAAGGCATAAAATGTGCTTGTTTCATGTACGATTCAGTTACTAGCAGTATAGAAGGAAATTGGTTCTTGTTTGGATACAGATTCAAGTTAATGTGTGTGTCTATATATATTAGAATGGAATGTAGTCTTACTTGGTCATTGGACCAATGATACCCTTGCACTGCATCCTGAAATACAAAAGAGTATTTTTCTGCAAAATCTTACAATAGAATACATTCATATTAATTTAAATGTCCTTTTGAATGAGCCAAGCTATAAAATTATGATAAAAGTTGGCCCAAACTTGTCAATCAATAAATTCTTCACATAAGAGAACAGCAGCAATTTTTTCCCCGTCTGTCATCACCCACTGTCTGTGTTTTTGTCTCCAAATTAGAAACTGTCCACTGCAGAAAGTAAGTTTCATATTGTATCAGTAAGGGCAGCTTTGACACTGTTAAAGAATGTTTCACTTTCTGTTCAGCACATCATTTCTTCAAGAGTTTTTTGGATTGATATCAGCTGTGACATGTGCTCCTTGCACCATGAGTGTTATGTTCTGATGAATCACACAGACACATACTGTATCACTGTAGGGGTCCACCATGCACCTGCAAGGATGCAGTGTTCTGAACACTATTCCCAAAATTTTTAAAAGCCAACTGAAACAGTTAAAGAGTTTTTCATGAAAAGCCACATACAATTCCTGAAGATTACACAATACTAACTCTTTTTCCATGCTCTCATTGTGAGGTTTCTTCGTGTTGCTGTTCCACAGACATGAGGTCCTTCTTGCAGGGACACAGGTGACTACTCATCACTCTCATAAAATTGGATGACTGTTTACATAACAGCATCAGACAAAGAGTGATCATATTTTAAAATCCAGGAAGGAATAATGCCACAGATTTTTGTGTAAAGCTCCTCCTTTTCCCACAGTGTATTGAGACACACCAAACTAAGTAGTAACCTTCTTTACTGACCAACCATGAGGTATACATGAAATTAAATTTACTCTATTTGCTGCAGTTAGAGCCAACTTAAGTTTTAATTTGAAATTTTAGAGGAATCTCTCATATTCTTCACCAAGATGAATCAATTTTATATATTCAGATCCTCCATAATTGCTTGGATCCAGTGTGGAATGTAGCATTTTTTGAAGTTGATCCTTTCCAGCAGAAGATGCCTGTTGCACCTTCAGTTTGCCATGAGCAATCTTTTGTTCATTAACTGATACTGTTTTTCATCACTTATAACACAACACCTTCATAATGTCAAAGCTATCAAATTGAACCATGTGCTGTTAGTATAGATAAAAGATAAGCATGGCAAGTGTAACAAAACATGGGGTAGAATTTCCCTTTGTCTCCCTACCATTTCAAAATTCAATAACTAACTACATGGCTTAGGTAACCCAAAAGTTCTTCACTGAATTAAGCAAGGCCCTCCACCAGTCCCTGTCCCAGGCCAACAAAATCCAGTCTCCTTCAACTCCTATCTCCCATAGACCCCATCTAAGATTATCCTCCCATCTATGTCTAGGTCTAACCAGCAGTCTCTTCCCTTCAGGCTTCTCAACCAATACCCAGTGCACATCTTGCCCCATTCATGTGTGCTACATGCCCCACCCATCTCATTCTTCTTGACTTAATCACCCTGACAATATTGGGAGAGGAGTATAAATCTTTATGCTTACAATTTTGCAGTTTTCTCCACACCCCATCCTCTTTTCTCCTAGGCCAAAATATCCTCCTCAACACCCTTTCTCAATCTGTTTTCCTCCCTCGGAGTGAGATAATGTTTCACACCCATACAAAACAACAGGAAAAATTATTGTTTTGTATATTTGAATCTTCAGATTCTTGGAAATCAGACATGAAGACAAAATATTTTGAACTGAGAAGTAGCAAGCATTTCCAGAATTTAGTCTCCTCCTAACTTCCTCATGAATATAATTTTGATTTATTATTGTTGTTTCCAAAAATTTGAACTTTGTCACACTTCCAGATGATTTATTAGCCACCCTAAGATAATTCTGCCCACCTATCTCCTGATGGGATACTAACATGTACTAGGTTTTTTCTGAATTTATTTCTAGCCCCACTTGTCTACTAGCCTCTAGTGAAACTTCTGTGTTCCTCTTTATTGTATTTATATCTCCACCTAATAAATTAACATCAGCATATGCCAATAGCTGATGTGTCCCATTCAACGGCAAACCCTCCTGCCTATCTTGGACTTTCCTGATGACACATTCTATCAATGATAAAATAAATTTCCTTCCTTTGAAATGTGCATATCTCAGGCATGGATTGAAAAAACGTGGTGAAATTTACAATGTACGTAAGAAAGCCAGTGACTGTTATCTCTGCAAATTCTCATTGAGTTATTCTTTACCCAACAAGTTTCACACGAATAGAAGTTGTGTATTTCTTCAACACAAATTTATAAAGATTTTTTTAAATTCAGGATACAACAAATTTAACTCTGCATTACTAAGAACCAGTTTTCACAGAAACAGGCCTTTTAGTTTTCGAAAAACAAATAATTTTCTGAATATACTGATACCACTACTGAATGAAGAATGACCTGCATCGCACTAGTTTCTGTATTCTGTATCTTCAACATTGGTTATTGGGCACTGTATTTTCAAAATTTACTTAGGTCATAACAGCCTATGAACATGCCAAATTTCATTTAAATAAACACTTCATCACCCACCACATGAATTTGCTTATTTGGCATGGAATAACTCAGTTGCCATCTTCTGGGTAAATGTCATTTGGTGGGAGGAAGGAGGGGTAGAAAGACCTTGTATAGATCTGACAGTCACGAAAGCGTGACTGGACAAACAAAGGAGCAGGATGCTATTCAACAGACAGCCACCATGTACTTGAGGAAGAAAGCAAAAAACATTTTTCCTTTTCCTCAACCATGGGGTTACTCCTCATTGGATAGTACCCCACTCCCCTGTTTGTTGAATCACAACTTCACCACCCACTACCAGCTATGTAAAACGTCTTCCACTTTATGACCAGAGCCACTCCAACAGATTTCAAATTATTTTAAGCAGGTATGCACTGTAATATACCAGACTATACACAGGCTTCCAACAATTGCCAACATGTTAAAAAGAAACCTTCAACATTCAATGTTGCTTATCCATGAAAGGTGAAATTATACACTTAACTCCAGTCATAAAATACCTAATGGCAAGAATACAAATGTTAATGATAATAGGAGATACAGTTATATGAAATAAGTATAAATGTGCTAAGTTAAATCATAATATTAAGAGTTTTAGTGACATTCTGATAGACACATCCCTGATAACATAATACTGTTTATCATCATTTCTTAAAACAGGGTTTGGCAGAGCATATGTATTTTAATGTGGCAAAATTTCAGAAAAGAGTGATAAGTACTAAATGACTTACACACACTTTAGGTTCACATATTTAGAAAATATTTCTCCTTCGAACTGCTGGAACACAAACACATCTTGTTTTGATGGTTCAAGAGAAGCACAACTCTGTTCAGAGATCCACTCAGGTGACAACTCATGTTCAACACAACTCTGTAAAGATAGTTACACATGCATTCACCTTGGCACAAACTGCAAACAAAAGTAAAATACCCTCATTTTCATTATATTTTTGAAATTCACTCTTTACTAACAGAACTACAAAGTGCACTGGCTGATAAAGCTAAATGCAACTTTCACTTCCCAACTCGTGGCAAGAAATGCATAAACCATCACCAAATGCCAACAACAATTGCTCCTAAAATTATTCACACGAATGTGCAAATATGTTCAACACCATGTTAAGGACTGGTTGTTGTTGTTGTTGTGTGGATATAGTCATACCATACTATACCACTGAAATGTAGGTCCACTAGAAACTGTCAGAGGCAATTTAATCATTTTCCATGGATCACAGTTCCAAGCACAACAGGCTTCTACAAACCTATTAACAAAGTCAGGAATCTACTGAATCACTTCTGGGTAAGAAATCTTCTAAAAAAAATCCCTTTCCAAAGAAAGCCTAAATGGAATAAGGGCTAGATTATAAAAACAAGACAGAAATCATTAAAATGCCTTGCACAAAAAAATTGGCATCTTAAAATCAGCAGCAGCAAAAGCAACAAAGCTACTTAAACTTAGTCCATACAAAGCAATTAGGTCATGTTTTGTAAACAGGTAGCCCAGCTAACAGGTTTAATTTCTGCAACTGGTTTATGCAGTCAATTCATAATGGAAGTTTACCATCATGCGACTTTTATGCTATTAAGCATGATTTTATTTGCAGCGTTCCTGCTCGAAGCCAGGTAGTGACAGTTGTGTTCAACTTAATCATTGAAAGAATTGTATTATATTGTGGCTTATCTCATGGAAAGTTATTCAACCGTACAATGCGTAATATTTACGTCATACAGGAATCATTCATACCTGAAATGCCATTTTCATATCGTCCGAGCAAAGACTCTCACCCTTGAGATCCTTCGGAACTACGAACCGAATACGTACATTTTCTTCTTCAGACATTCTGAAATGAAATTGCGATTTTCTGCTCAATTCAGAGCTGAACAGTCCAGTAAACTGCAAAAGTTATGAACACCGGATTTCAAAAGCAGAGTATCTACAAAATACACTGACTCCAAAAAAATATTTTCATAGTACACGGAATGCTTCAAATTATCCTTGTTTTTGTGCCGCTCAAACCATTCCACCACTCAACACTTCGTAGCAATTCAACTGTTATAAGCGAAATCAGAACGGAAAACATAAGAAAATAAATTTCTCTCATTGTCAAAATATCTCAAAACAGTGTCCTTTTTCTGCAATGTTCAAGTACGAAATAAACCACTATATATTGATCGCTTAAAACGGATTCTTGCAGCTTCAGAACGTGAATATTGGCAACTCCAACAGACTGGACTGAGATGACAAGCACTGACAGGTGGAGGGAAGGAGGAATTAAATAAAGATGAAAGTAGGTGAGAAAAAGCGAGGAAGAAAAGAATAGACTCGGGAAGAAAATAAGGATGGAAAGACAGAAAGGTAGAACGACAGCGAAAGAGAAATTAATAAATCGTAACTCCATTAAACAGTCTCCAGAAACAAAAAGCTCCCTTGGCTAGTTTCTCGGCCCGATTGTTTAACAAGCGAAACTGAAGTTCAAAAAAATTCCAAATATGCATGTTTATCTCACGTTCTATCCTGATCGTAAAAACTTTCAATCAAAGAACTTCCCTCGTCACGTACTTAGGCCAGTTGTGGAAGATCTATCAGCGCGGCTAGTGGGGTAGGAATGGAGGAGGACCTCTCAAGTGGTTGTATTAATTACACCGGCAGACGACACCAAAAACACTTAGTTTGTTACAACATTAAATTACAAACTCCGAGAAACATAGGACGCATATCTGAGCTCACGCAATTGAAGTTTGATACTTCCAGAATGGCTCTGAGGACCTGTGTAACGGCCGTCATAATGTTTGGAATGCGTGGATGGAAACTTCCACGCTCCCACTTATCACATCATAGTGGACAGTATATGCACGAAACTCTTCGCACATAATAGGACTCCCAGTGCCATCACGTCGCAGACACTGAAATTAAATGTAAGAGGACAATGGAAAAAGGAGCTCGAGTATTCTCAGAACTTGCGCAACGTAGTGGCAAAAATGAACAACTAGTCTGATTCATGCAGCGACATCTAGTAACAGAAATCAGCATTAAATTTAAACTTTAATTAAAAAATGAAGTCAATTAACATTTCTGCAGCCTTCACAGTTTTGCATGATCACGGCAGACATTCAACGCTATCATGAGACAAAAGTTTAGCTAAAATCATTCCTGTCAAAAGGAGTTAAGTATTATCTCATTTGCAAGAAAGGTTTCAGGTTCATACAACAGTGAGTATGACATCAGTCATCTTCATACTCTGACAATCAACAACAACAGCACAGTATACCGCCATGTAGTGACTGGGTAGGAAAAAGTGTATAATAAAATCTCTACCACTCAGCAGCACATGCACTGCTTCGTTCTCAGCCGAGATCTGCCCTGCGACAAATTTGTATATACTGATGACTTAGAGGCTCACCTAAGCACAATATTAAGGTCTGAAGGGACAACTGACCATGTAGACCACATCCCTGGCAAAAGCAAACTAAACTATTACACATTTACTGTGCTCTTCAAAACAGAGTCCCGCAAGTGGGTGATGTGTACCAGTACCATATCAGGACAATAAATCTAAAGATGACAACTTATGGAGACTCACCTTCATGGCTTCATTCGTTCTCCGCAGAGCTCAAGAAACAGCAAAAACAAGACAAAATACAGCACACCAGTAAGAGTGGCAATTTAGACAAGAAGTAAAAGCAAGTTAAAGTAAAGTCGTCCAGCTACACACCATGTAGGTCATTTGGGGGGAGTGGAGATAGAGCTCCTACTCTTTCTTGAACTCGGCACTAGATGGAGTGAGTGGTCAGCATTACGCCCCAGTCGCACTTTACCCTTGGGAAAGGACCCCAGTACCCAGTGGGTCCCAGAGCTGGTCTGCACACAGAGACTAGAGGAAAAATCCTCTGCTCCCGTCAAAGATCGAATTCCAGTTGTCCAGCCCATAGCTAGTCACTATACTGACAGAGGTATCCCAGCTCCTAGACAGAACATTTTTACTTCTTACAAATATTTTGTGACTTATGTTTGAGATAAATGACGAACACAAGCAGTCTTCTTGTAGTGATCTTTACTGTCATCAGATTCAAACCAAAATTTGAATGTGTTGACAAATTTGAATGAAACCGCCTAATATTAAATTTTGTGAAAATCTACTAAGTGATTTTTAAGTTGTTACATGCAGACAGACAGACAGACATGATAAAGACAACAGGTGCATTTCTACAACTTTTCACTGTGAATACACCAAAAAATGTATCTTAGAGAAATATTAAGAAAACAATGCTCTTTATAAATTCCAGATGTTACTTATGAGAAATTTCATGGTGACTCTTCTTCTCTACAACTGCTTTCTCATAACTGCAAACTCTGAAGAACTTTCCCACCTGCACAAGTGGAAAAAACACTCCAAATTTTCTTCCCTCTACTACCTTGACAAGGATTATCTGAATAATGCCAACATCTACAACACAAGTGTCGAGTTCACCATCCCTCTGTTCTCATTCACATTCCTAACCGTTGAAAAGCCCAATGACTATACAACATTAATAAAGCAAAACATCCTTGGACACATCATCTTCTTTGTGGTGATCATAGTATCTCGCATTCCCAGTGTTCTTAAACGAGATTGCCCCGAAGAGTAGATCGTTTCCTGATCGACAGTATTACCACAGACTGCTCTCAGACACAATCAAAATAACTGCTCAAGATCATGTCAATATCTAACAATGTCTCCTGAATGCGGGCTGGGAGGGATACGCAAACTATAAAGAGTACGGACTCGTGGCTCTGCCATTTCGATATATCTTCCAGTGAGTAATATTCGATATTACAATTAAAATTGTGGAAACATTTCAGCAAGGGCTGACCTATGTGTGGTACTGACAATGGCTAAAGAGGAATTGCAGCCTAATATATAAATGTTACATAGAAATGAACAGAAAAAAACACTTTAAGATATGTTAATAAAAACATAAATATGTACTCATTTCCATTTTGTTTAAATTCCTTTATACAGAAATATAATAAAGTGGAGAAAAGTACAAAACTCCATGGTGTATGGTATTCCGTAAAAGTTAAGTAAGGTTTTTCTCTTGTTGCAGATCTACAGCTTCATAGAATGTCTCCCAGAGGTGGGAGAATCACAAGTGCGATACTCAGTTTCAATGTCCTTTCAACATCTTGCGACTACTGAGATACATAACAAATCTTATCTTCAAATTCTTGAAGTTAACATGAATTTCAGGTTCCTATTTAAGGTGTAATAAAGTCACTTCATACCAAACTCCTGTTGTATTCATTGATATTACACCCCAAATTCCACAAGAAAATTCTAGGGATACTCAGTCATAAATTCACTCCACAACTTTAATGCACATAAAATACCAAATTTAATATAAATCTGGTCAGTAGATTCTATAACATGACAAGAGAAAAGTCATTTCTTTTTTGTAAAAAATAACACAAGCTGTATGAAAATAATGTATTATATGCAAATAAAAATCACTTACATACAGACATTTCATTCTTTTAATATATAAAAGAAAATAATAAAATAAAAAAATTGGGTTACATGAAACAAAGTTTTTCAGAGACAGAGTTCTGAGAAGCAAAAATTAAGACCACATTGGAAGAACATCGACTCAATGTGGAAAACACAAGCAGGGATAGAAATGACAATGTGGGATAGCATGCAAAGATGAAGACTTTTACTAAGTGTTTCAAATTATTGCATAAGGAGAATACAGGGTTAAAGCTGGAAAGTTGATCTCATACGTTTAAAAGAACAAATATTTATAAAAAGGCACCTAATTACTGATGCAGTCTACAAACCCAACATTCTTAGTTGGGTTAAAGAAGAACATGTTGTTGTGTGGTGTTTCGTTCTGCGAAACAGCCTTGATAATTTCTTGTGCCAATACTCCTCCTCCGATGGCACACATGAAAGCCTGTCATCTGTTGTTCGTTCAGTGGTTGTGGAATGAATGCTTTTAGGATCGGTCGTCACTCACCGCGAAATCTTTTGCATGCGCATATATCGAATTCCTAGCAGGGATTTTCTCCTGATCTGTGGACTGTACTTCTGCTCTTTCCTCTTGACTCTGATATCATCATTTTATTTATTTCTTCTATTTCTGCTTATAATAATACATTATACTTTTGAAGGATTCACTCCAAGCAATTAGCAATACATGATACATGCTGTCCAGTCACTTAGTTGTCAGACCATGTTGGCAAACCTATCTTACCGAATATGGAAAACATGTTACATAAGTTGTTGCTGTAGCATACCTGAACAGTTCATCTGGCACTTTGTCTACTGGCACTTCCAACTTGGCAAGAACTTCATTATGTATGCTGTAGAGCTGTTTGATGTCCTCCTGCAGTTTCTCAGGGCTTGGGTCATGCCCACGTTTGCTGCGAAACCCAAGGAGTACTGAAACAAACATTAAACTCATTTAAGATAATCCCAGGTTCACAGGTTATTCTGATGACACTGGGAGCTAGAACAGCTCAGTTGGTAGTGACTGGTGACGACAACAGTTCAATTACCAGCAGGGAGAGGACTTTTCTTTTCAATACATCCAAACAAGTTCTGAGGCCCACTCAGCCTTCTATTCTAAGAATAATGGAAGCTCTTTCAACTGGGATAAAGCAGGTGGAGCATGAAGCTGAACAACCACCTTCACATTATGCCAATGGTTTAGGAATGCGTGGAACTCTACCTTCATATCACAGTACTCAGACACATGGGCAACTCTTTCTTTTCCATCTTATCATACAAACTACTCAGGTAATTTAGTTTCTGACCAAACAAGAAATTAATCATAAAGTGAACTAGAAAAGATTGGGTAGAAAGCACTCAAGACCTATTTCAGGATACTGTCCTCTTCTGGCATTCACTTACGATCAAGGAAAAACCACGAAAATCACCAGCATAGTCGGTGTCCTACCTGAGATTCAACCCAGGTATATACCAAATACAAGTCATGTGAAATACTGCTAAGACAGCCTATCTGACCTGAACTCAAGAAATTTCTTTCACCGTACCTCTTATAAGGAAGTAAGAACAATCAGTCTTTGGAAGGCGTTTGATGTAAGTTTCACTGGACCAATCAACATCCAGCACATCCTGCAGGGGCACAAATGTTGCAGTCCGTTTTGTTGTCACCTTCACAGGATCCACTTTGGTAATCTTTTTAGCAGGCTCCTCACAGTCCTGAATGCTGGCAATTTTGTATACTGTCACCTCCCTGAAAACAAACCCATAAGACATTACACACATTTATTCAATATTTTGTTATAAGGATAATGGCTGCCTCATGTTCTAATACTTAGTACATATTCATGTCTTATAATAAGAATATTGTATATGGCAAAATCTAATATATATAAACTTATCCTTACAAAATGTGCTAATGTAAGGGTCAAATCAGAATGATGTACAGGTGACTCATTATATGCGGGAATTCCAGTCGCGATAATCACAACGTGTATAAAAAATAGGAAACACATTTTCTGACTGGTACACCATGATAGGCAAAGCAATGGGGTTAGTCGGTGAAATTGTGCAGACAACTCCATGGGCCTGAACAGAAGATTCCATCATAGCCACAAAAAGGAAACAGATGCTCCACTATATTGAAATAAAACCATGGATGTGCAAAAACACACATAATGAAAGCATGCATAACAAACCTGTACATGATTAAATAAATAGCAGATTAAATTTGGGAACTGCACGTTTATATCACGAGTGGAAAGAATGGAGAAGACTTCGTAATGTCAGTGAAAGATGCTCTACTTCTACTCATTCAGCATATTCATGTATCTGCAGGTCCGTGAATGTATAACCAAACATTCAAAGACTTTACCACAGAACAACTTGATGCTCTTCTCTCGACAGACCCGACTGATTTGAATCAATTGTTCAACAGGGCACTCAGTAGCACAGATTACATCAAAGTCTCCAAAAATGTATCTGGTTTGTCAGCAACATCTTCAGAATCAGCTGTAACCTGCACCACGGGATTGAGCTTCTGAGCTCTACTCAGAGAAGCCTCCGCTCGCTGGGAAAATTAGTTAAAAATTACAACTAGACATGGCACTAGTTGAGTGATTACAGAAATATAGAATAGACAGGCACAGAAAATACCTCCCTGTCCCTTACCAAATGTCTGTGAAGCATCATCATTACTTCTGATTCTTCTGTGTGATGGGAGGTTATATGCATTGCAACAGGACTCACATAGCTTCTTCTTCTCAAAGTGCCTATCCGTTCCGGATGTTGGCAATCAGCATAGCAATTTGAGCTTTACTGGCTGCTACTTGAAACAGCCCACCAGTGGACACTCACATAGCAGGGTATGTTATTTCTCACTAACTACTTATGTGAAGAGGTGCAGCATGAAAGGAAGGTGCAATGGAAGGTCAGACTGATTGCAGTCTTTTGGGTTGTCATGTAATCTTGTAGGTGGTTATCAACATTTTGGAGGGACATATTACATCTATCTTCACAGAAAAATGTGACTGAAAGTCCAAGAAAAGGGCCTCTCAATCAATTTGCTTCCTTCAATCCCCTCCCATTAGTGAAAGTAGTAAGCACCTCTGAAACGTCGGCCAGTTTTAATGAGACTACACAGCACAACATCCAATTATTCGTCTCTTCGTTTCTTATACGACGTAAATTGAACACAAGTTTTACAACCACCAACTACCGCTAAATTTTGCTTAGATGTAGCAACTACAACACTACGAAAGTCACTAAATCGCTCAGCTTTGCCAACTAAAAATGTAAAAATCTATGCACACGAGAAGGTTCGTAAAAATAATATCGTTTGTTGGAAGCTTTGCAAGTGAATGGGCGTATTGGCATTAAAACGAAACAGTCACGGCTAGCATCATAACAAGTAATGATGACAGTTGACCAAGAAGCAGTTGAAAGGGCATTTGTGTTTCAGTTCCCGACTTTCATTACTTAACAGGAATATAGTCCGGAAGTACCAATATATATTCCGTACTCTGGTTCAATAAAAGAATTAACACAGCGTCTTATATCTTCATTTAAACTGCCTTGTTATGTTGAAAAATGTAGATTATGTCATTTTCGTTGTCAACGGTGCTGCACGAAAGGTGCTCCAGTTTGACATGACCACAACACTTGCACTACTAAACAGGAATATAAACTGGAAGTACCAATATATATTCCGTACTCTGGTCCAATAAAGGAATTAACACAGCGTCTTATATCTTCATTTAAACTGCCTTGTTATGTTGAAAAATGTAGATTATGTCATTTTCGCTGTCAACGGTGCTGCACGAAAGGTCCTCCAGTTTGACATGACCACAACACATAACAATGCAACTAGCCGTTTTTATTAGCTGAAATATTTTTCTTTTTAAAATTTAGTTAATAGTGTTATGTGAGATTTTTGTACTTCTTTGCAATTAGGTATGAGTACTTTTTTTCACATTTACAGTCAGCTCTAGTTAAATTTGTGAAGGAAGAAACAATTAAGTATTATGATGATGTTTCTCTCTGCTATGTTATAAAGGGTAAAGCTGATGTACAACTGTGTTACTTGTGTGTGTATATGTGGTTTGATTTATATTATGGGTAAAAATACAGTTGTATTCTTTTTGTAATTCACTTGATCTGGCTACACAATTTCCAAGCAACTCTTGAATGGGGGTTGGCAAAGGACCCAATGACACCATGAACTAGAACCCATACAATTTAGGTGGTTTATTGTAGCACCATGTAGTCTGAGAGTAGTTTGCCAACATTTCAGTGGGCCTTGTTGCCTCCATCATCAGGGCTCATTGAAAGAGGCAGTGAGGACCTACAACCCAGAAGACAGCCATCTTCCTATTTCATCAGTGTGCCATTCATTTATTGCCTGATGCAGTAAAGGAAGCTGTTGAGTAATGAAGGGTCAGTTCATCTAACAGTATGGATGGGATGGGTTATAAGCATGGACATACAAGCTTTAATAGTGTTGTTATCAGCAACAAATATAGATACAAGGAAGGTGATAATGATGGAATGCTATTACATGATTCACAGCTCCTGACATTTCAGATGTGGCTACTGTTAAGTGCACAAGCCAATTAGGTGTTGCATTGCTTAGTTACATAATTATGACAGCTGAGTTTGATGGGCATAATGTAAACATCACTTGTGCTTGGACTAAGTATCCATGAGGCAGACTAAAAAATACATTAGACAAGAAGCCAGTAGATTTGTAATGTGCAACAGCAAACCCCATGTTGCTCTTTGTTTATATCAAATTATGCTTTGGGCGTGTTGTGCATTTTTTGTTCCAAACTGTCACATTCCCAGTCTGACATCAAAAAAAAAGACATTAATGCCAGGTAAAATTATATTTAATTTTTAGATTGATCCTTCAGGAACACACTGGATCTAGGACAATGTGTTCTAGTTTTTCAGACTTTGTGGTGTTTTGTGAGCCACATTACCTATCTTTTGTATAACAAAATTTATAGAGATGCGTAGAAGAGGCTCTGAGCTCCATCCCTCTTGCTGAAGCAACATTCATGTTATCAGTGAGTTATTTTTTCTCTGATCAAGTGGCTTGGGGTTTGGTCCCACACCCTATCTGCTGCGGAAAAAAAGCAGTTTGAATGGGCTTTGTGAGACGAATATAACGGCATTGTGAAAACAAAGGCCTCAACTGTACACAATGTTTTCTCAACTGGAATACATCGATTTCAGGCTACGGATTCCATTCGCACCATCAAGGTCAAAGGTTTCCCTTGTGTAGTGTTTTGAATTCTTCATGTATTTTTTATTACTTTATTTAATGCTATATTATTTCAAGATGGGATCATTCACATTGTTGTTGGGATAATTAATAATCATAGGATTGTTCTTAATCAGTTTATTGAAATATTAAAGGTTTTTGTGTTTGAATAGACACATGTTGACCGACTTCGATGTCTCGATTACTCCATGCAAGAGACCTTAGTCCTCATTTACATGTTCAAATCCACGAGCATGAAATTTCCTTTGAATATTCCTGTGCAGATCGAATTTTTACATTGAAGGGATTTGACAAGAACAACTACTCATCTATTCCAATGCCTGGATAGGCTTCTGAGGAAGCAAGAAATTATTCAGCAACAACCGAAAGCTGCACTTCATAAGCAACAATAGTGTTCAACAATCAATGTAACCGAAACACATAGGTACAGTACATTAGGATTACGTAACTAACTAACTAACTAGATGGCTTACCGAGAACCCAAAGGTTCATCACCGAATTAACCAAAGCCCTCCAACAGACCCTGTCCTGGGCCAAAAAAATCCAGTCTCCTTCAACTCCTATCTCCCATAGATCCCGCCTGAGATTATCCTCCCATCTACGTCTAGGTCTCCCCAGCAGTCTCTTCCTCTCAGGTTTCCTGACCAACACCTGGTGCACACCTCTTGTCCCATCCATGCGCGCTACATGCCCCCCCCCATCTCATTCTTCTCAACTTAATCACCCTACAATACTGGGGGAGCAGTACAGATTTTTAAGCTCAACATTATGCAGTTTTCTCCACGCCCCATCGTCTTCTCTCCTAGGCCCAAATATCCTCCTCAACACCCGATTCTCAAACACCTGCAATTTGTGTTCCTCCCTCTGAGTGAGAGACCATGTTTCG